GCCTCTCCCAGCAACATCATCTTAATCAACCAGTCTGGAATGTTCTGGTCAACACCAGTGAGGTCATCTGAATGGGAACCTGGGAGGGAAGTTTTCGCATAAAATATAGCCTCTCTTTTGTCGTGAAGGACCACAGTTTTGGGTTGCTACCTGAATCTGTGTCTCTTGGGTTGCAATCTTTTGTTCAAATAAATACTGTTTATTCTTCATTACAGCTTACAATTGTTCTTAGTTGACAGAGATTTATGCTCAGAGTTACTGCTGTACTCTCTCTCATTTGCCATGGTGGAAAGCTGCTGAGTATTCTATTGAGATGTTCCCCTGGGACCTCCCTTAAAAACTACACCCTTAAAACCCCCAGGACAGAGACCACAGCGCTTGCCCTTAGGAGCATGCCGCTGCCCTCCTCCCTTCGGGTATGTCACCTTTACCTTCCTCACTTCTAAGCTCCAAGGCTCTTCCTTTGCCTTTATAGCTTGTTTCTTAAATCCATTTCTTCTATAAATTACTTCTTCTGAAAGGGGTGGGACAGAATAATAGAACAGAGTAATAATCATAATGGCATACTAGCCATAGTTACAAGAAATGTTAATCATCCTTTATAATGCTAATTGTGGTTGCTTTGTTATGATTAAAGAAAAGCCCACTGTGATCGGGCTGGAAGGTGTGCACCTCAAGAGTTTACCTGGGGGATGCTGTCTGTTCTTCTAATCTGAGGACAAAGGGGACTACCTGACATCATGGAAAGATTAACCACCTGATTATCTGAACACTGGGCCTGTGACTGTGACTCATTGGTGACCAGCCCCTGCAGCCCCCAGCTCACTTCCTCTCCTTTGCCCAAAGCCTTTTACAATCCTCCCCAGCCCACATTCTTTTCCCCTTGCCAGTAACCATTTTACCAATTTGTCATTGTTTCTCTACCCTTTAAAAGCAGCTGGCAAGTGAGGAGGGCAGGCAGAGCAGATTGGATGACCCACTGCTCCCCCATACTGTCAGAAATATTGGATTAAACGCTCATATACCATTCAACATTGTCTCTGCTTAGTTGCCTCAAGTAGTGACAGGCAGTCCAGACCCATTCATTGTCTGGTTTAACTTCTGGTTCTCTGATTTTCCAAGTAAGTGTTTTCTTATAGTTTGAGTCTTAGCTCTGAATTCTTTCCTAGCCAGAACTCAAGTACCAAGGTTGCTGAACCCAGGTCCGGTGTGACCCCATCTATCTAACACTTGGTGCCATTCCCTCCCACCACAGTCAACAATGCCTCTTATTCAAAATGCAAAAAAACAAAAGAATATATGTGCCCCTATGTTCATAGCAGCACTATTTACAATAGCTAAGATCTGGAAACAGCCCACGTATCCATCAATAGATGAGTGGATTAAAAGGCTGTGGTCAATGTACACAATGGAGTACTATGCAGCTGTAAGAAAGAAAGATCTCATATCCTTTGAGATGACATGGAGGGACCTGGAGAGTATTATCATAAGCGAAAAAAGCCAATCAGAGAAAGACAAATGTCACACGGTCTCACTTATCTGTGGAATATAATGAGCAAAACAAGCAGAGGAACAAAATTAACCCAGAGACATAGAAGTGGGATGCAGACTGACAAACCTCAGAAGAGGTGGATATGGGGGGAGGAAAGAGATAAACCACAGAACTTACAAGCATGTGTAAACAAGGTCATAAACTGCTGGGGTTGGGGTGGGATTGGGAGGAGGGTGTCAATGGGGGGGAAAGGAGAAACATCTGTAACAAAAATAAATAAATAAATAACTTCATGAGAGGAAAAAAATGCTCAAAAACTACATCAAAGACCACAAACCAAGGGACTAAATATGATGGCTTACTTTCTCATCTCTTCATGGTCCTGTTTTTGCCATGTCCCAATGGGAAAAGAGATGAAATTTAATACTCCAAGGATAAGGAAAGCTCTCCGACCCTCCACCACCAGGCTACCAGAATAGAAGTACTGTGGCCTGTAACCCATACTCTACTTCCAGGGTTGAGACACATGCCATGTCCTCTTTTCCATCCAACCATACCTCTGTGCACAGTCATAGGCAGACCATCTATGGAAAATACCTTGAATGCTGGTCTCCAAGAAGCAATGAGGAAGCAGTAGGAGTTGTAGAGCCAGACACCACTTCAACCCTTTGGAGCACATGTTTCCCTCCAGAGCTTCCCAGGAATACTGCAGCCTGATAAGATTTCAGGCTATAGCGGTACCAGAGATCCTAATCCTCTTGAGTTCGTGGTCTGGGGGTTAGAGAAAAATACCGGATCTTTTCTCTCTTCCGCAGCTTGTGGGTGGGGCCCGGAGACCAGATAGAGGAAGTGCAATAGGTTTTTGTTTGTTTTTTTTTTTTTTTATCTGAGACCATCATGAAAACAGAATGAACTTTTTTTTTTTTTTTATCCTCACCCAAGGACATTTTTCCATTTATGGTTCAGATAGAGTGGGAGGGAGAGAGAGAGAGAAACATTCATGTAATAGGGACACATGGAGTGGCTGCCTCCCACATGACCCAACCAGGGCCAGGGATAAACTGCAACTGCGCTACACGCCCTTAGCAAGAATGAACCCGGGTCTCTCTGGACCACAGGCCGACGCTTTAGCCTCTGAACCAAACCAGCCAGGGCCAGAATGAACAATTTTGTTTGAATGTGCACTGGTTCTGTTTTCTTGGGAGAAGTTCCGTAGCTTCTATTGTATTCTCAGAAGGGTCAGTGCAGTGCGCAGAAAGTGTAAAGATCCCTGAAACAGAATACCTGCTCGTGGTTTCCCAGGCAGGAATCACCCTGATTAATCCAGAGGCTAAAATGAGCAGGTGCCCATCCTGCCTTCCTTCCCAGAGTACCTTCATCAGAAGACATGCAGCGTGATTGGTGAGACCCAGAGACAGAATGTGAGTAAAGGAGAACAGAAACTGCAAAGCACATAGAGATGTGAAATAATGATCTCCTCTACACTTATTTAGACATGACATGTAGAAATGGACAGTTTCAGAAAAGCCAAGCCATTGACTCATTGTCAGATAAATGTAACAGGAAATGATAATCAGCAGAGTTCATCTTTGTGAATATAAAAGATAGGACCAGTTATGTGCATTCTCAGGAATATTTTTAATAGTCATATAAAGTCCTGGTTTGGCTCAGCAGTCAGAGCGTCAGCCCGTGGTCCAGAGAGTCCAGGTTCAGTTCCGCTAAGGGCATGTACCTCAGTTGCAGTTTGTTCCCAGCCTCAGTTGGGGTCATGTGGGTGGCAACCACACAATGTGTCTCTCTCACATTGATATTTTCTCTCTTTCTTTGTCCCTCTCTCCCTCCTGCTCTATCTGAAGATAAATGCAAAAATGTCCTCTGGTGAGGAAAAAAAATAGTCATATAAATATTTCAGAGCAAGTTGAAAGAAGATGTCCAATAATCTCCTAAAAATGTCCAAAATCTTGATCAAATTGTGATTAAAATATATTAGTGAGAAAGGCATCAAAATGTTTCAGTATTTTGTTAGCTTAAAATGTAAAGTTATCGATTTCATACTATAATGTCATACTTGGTTATTTTACAAAGAAAAATTAAGTGGTGATTGAGTGCAAAAATCACATCTATGGAAAGTGATTGCTATGCTTGCTATATGCCCACTTTCTCACAACATACTCTAATTATATGTGTTTTGAAAAAGAAATAGTTATTTCTATTGAAAAATCTGTTTTTAAAATGAAATAAGTGTAGTTTTAAAGCAATGACCATTTCTCACTTTGAGATGACACAAATTTTCTCCTTGAAACATACAAGCATTCTTTTTTTTTTTTTTAAAGAAATAGGCACTTTTTTAATAAGTTTATTTTTTCTTTATTGATTTTAAATTTTTTTTCTTTATTGATTTTAGAGAGAAAGAAAGGGAGAAGGAGAGAGAGATAGAAACATCAATGACAGAGAATATCGCTTAGGTGCCTCCTGCATGCCCCCCACTGGGGATTGGGTCCACAACCTGGGCATGTGCCCTGATGGCAAATCAAACCGATGACCTCTTGGTGCATGGGTCAACGCTCAACCACTGAGCCACATGGGCCGGGCAAGCATTCTATTCTTTCTAAGTTTTCTCTACTCCTGTAGAATGGCAGAATCTTTCCTCATATTTTGCTCTGTCACTGTACCAATCTCACAGAAGATAAAGTCCTGAAGCCCCAAGAAATCCCACTCCCTTTCTGCTCCCAATTTTCCTCTCCAACTAAAAAGGAGGAAATGCTGGTGTCATTCATAATTATTCTGCTTCTATTGCTCAGGACATTCATTCATGTATTCAGCACATGTATTAGGATTTGCCATGTACCAGGAATAAAATAGTGAGAAAAATAAAATAGTGCTAAGAATAAAATAGTGAGAAAAATAAAATAGTGAGAAGAAGTCCCTCTTCTTATCATCCTTAGATTTTAGTATGGTAGATCCTACAGAAAAACAATAATAAAGTAGGGTAAGGGGATAAAGAGTAAAATTTCAGGGAGTAATATTTTATTGAGAGGACAAGGAAGTCATCTCTAATAAGTAACAGTAAATTTTAAGGCAGAGATAGTTGTATCGATATCTGAGAAAAGAGTTTTCCTCTAGTGCAAAGGCCGTGAAGTAGGAGTGTGCTTGGTGTATTCAGGGGCAGTAAGGAGGTTAATGTGACAGATGTAGAACAGGCTAGGAAGAAAGAACTAGGAGATGACATTAATAAGGTACCAAGAGCCATCATGTAGGGTCTTGGAGGCCCTGGAAAGGACTTTGCATTTTATCTTAAGTGATATAGGAAACAACTGGCAAGCAAAGAAATGACTTGATCTGATTTATTTGTTGAAAGTATTATTCTAGGGGACTGCGAGGAGGCGGGCAGGCAGATGGTGTCGGGCGGCCGGGAGTGCACGGTGGACTTGGTGGACACGAGTAGTTTCTTGTCAGTTGCTTGGCAACAGTGGCCACAGTGACCAAGAAGGGAACAGGACGGCTGGCGATGGTGGCCACCGCAGCAGCAGGTGAACCCCTCAGGTATTTGCCTAAACTGGAACTTAAGCTGCAGCCATTTCTTTGTGGATTTGTCTAAAAACCTAAGCATAACTGAACATGATATAAAAACGTATGGGGTGGTGGAGTGAATGGAAGCTACATAGACCATATCCCAGGACCAAACTGGAATTACAACAAAAATAAAGACAAATCGTCAGGAAAAAGCAACAGAAAAGCAGCTTGGAGGACCACATAACCAGGGACACTGACTCAATCCTGGTAGGTTTGCGAAGACGCGAGAGGCGAGCTGGGAGCAAACGGTCGGCAGTGGCCTTAGCTGTGAGCAGCGTCCTCGGGTTAAAGTCCCAAGAGCTCCACAGTGCAGAGCCAAGACAGAGGCTAAAATAGCCACAGCCACTTACCTTGGGCTCCAGCAGAGAAAGGGCAGACTGGACTGGAACTGCGTGGGGACACTCGGAATTTGGAGGGTGCTCAGAGCATTTGCTGAGTTGCAGCCACACAGGATGTTGGTCATCTTACTCCTTCCTAGGGCTCTGGGGAGACATGGTGGCCCCTCCCTCAGAGATTCAACCCCACCGGGTAGCCATTTAAATGCAAATTGAGGCCCATTAACAACCAGCATCACCCCACCTTCAGGAAATCCCCATTACACTGAGCACCTGAGGGAGTTTTTTATTCAACTGAGAAACCAAGGCTCTTCAGGTAACCTCAACTGATAGCCACCAGGCAAAAATCTAGAGGATACCTGTACCATCCCTGGGCTAGCAACTCTAACCAGAAAAGTAAAACTTTTGTTTATCGTGGGTCCTCCCTGGCTCATTGAAACCCAGGAGAGGGAGCCACAAACAGCAGAACACCAACACCCACAGAGAAAATTTGGCAGGCTCCAAAGGCCATGGAGATAGACAAAATGGTGAAACAAAAGCCAAATGAAAGAACAAGAAGCCTCTACCAAAGATGAAATAAATGAGGTGCAGTTAAGCAAGTTAACAGAACTAGAATTCAGAGCCATGATCTTGAGGAAGCTCAACAGCATGTGTAAGGACATGAGCACCATGAGTAAAGACATAGAAATGTTGAAATCAACCAGTTAGAAATTAAAAGACACGAAGAAGAAATAAAGAATGACATATCAAAAATAAAGAACACATTGGAAGGTCTAAATAGCAGAGTAGAGGAAGCTGAGGACCGGATCAGTGAATTAGAAGATAGGGTAGAAAAAAATCAACCAATCAGAAAACCAAAAGGAAAAAATAATTAAAAAAACAGGAAACAGCTTAAGAGAACTGTGGGACAACTGGAAACATAATAACATTCCCATCCTAGGAGTCACTGAAGAAGAAGAAAATAAGCAAGGGTTAGAGAATATATTTGAAGAAATAGTGACAGAAAACTTCCCTAATTCAGTGAAGGAAGAAGGCAATCAAGGTCAAGAAGCACAGAGAGCCCCAAGTAAGAAGAACCCAAACAGGCCCACACCAAGACACATAGTAATCAAAATGCCAAAAATTAAAGACAAAGACAGAATCCTAAAAGCAGCAAGTGATAAGCAACAGGTTTCCTACAAAGGAAACCCCATAAGGTTCTCAGCTGACTTCTCAACAGAAACACTACAGGCCAGAAGGGAATGGCATGAGGTAATCAAGGTCATGAAAAACATGGATCTGAATGCAAGACTACTCTACCCAGCAAGGCTCTCATTCAAAATAGGTTAAATAAAAAGCTATCCAGACAAAAAAAAGGCTAAGGGAATACATTACCACCAAACCAGCACTGAAAGAAATGTTAAAAGGACTGCTGTAAAAAGCAGGAAAAAAAATAGGAAAAAAAAAATATAACCACACTAAACAAAAATGGCAATAAATAACTACATATCAGTAATCACCTTGGCTGCTGCCTGGGGCTTGGTTGAGGCGGACGGTGGTTCTGGGCCGGAGTGTGGCGCCGGTGCTGCTGCACAAAGGGGCAAGCGGGCAGTCAGAAATCAAGTAAAAACACAAAAATCAGGCACTGGTGCTACAGCAAGTGTGTCACCGAAGGAAACCTTGAACCTGACTAGTGAGCTCTTGCAGAAATGCAGTAGTCCTGCGCCCGGTCCAGGGAAAGAGTGGGAAGAATACGTGCAGATCCGGTCTCTAGTGGAGAAAATACGGAAAAAGCAAAAAGGTTTGTCTGTTACTTTTGATGGAAAAGAGAAGATTACTTTCCTAATCTAATGAAATGGGCCTCTGAAAATGGAGCTTCAGTTGAGGGTTTTGAAATGGTCAATTTCAAAGAAGAGGGCTTTGGTTTGAGAGCAACAAGAGATACCAAGGCAGAAGAGTTATTTTTATGGGTTCCATGGAAATTACTAATGACTGTTGAATCTGCTAAAAATTCAGTTTTGGGGCCCTTGTACTCTCAAGACCGAATTCTTCAAGCCATGGGAAACATCACACTGGCTTTTCACCTGCTGTGTGAGCATGCTGACCCTGACTCTTTCTGGCAGCCCTACATTCAGACCCTCCCCAGCGAGTATGGCACTCCTCTCTACTTTGAGGAAGATGAAGTTCGGTCTCTACAGTCCATACAGGCTGTCCATGATGCCTTCAGCCAGTACAAGAACACAGCTCGGCAGTATGCCTACTTCTACAAGGTCATCCAGATCACCACTGGGTACAACCTGGAGGATGACCGCTGTGAGTGTGTGGCTCTGCAGGACTTCCGGGCCAGAGAGCAGATTTACATTTTTTATGGCACTCGGTCAAATGCAGAGTTTGTGATCCACAGTGGTTTTTCCTTTGACAATAATTCACACGACAGAGTGAAAATAAAGCTTGGAGTGAGTAAAAGTGACAGGCTCTACGCGATGAAGGCTGAGGTCTTGGCCCGCGCTGGCATCCCCACTTCCAGCGTGTTTGCCCTGCACTTTGTGGAGCCGCCCATCTCTGCCCAGCTGCTGGCTTTTCTCCGCGTGTTCTGCATGACCGAAGACGACCTGAAGGCACATCTGCTAGGAGATAATGCTATCGACAGAGTCTTCACCTTGGGTAACTCTGAGTCTCCTGTGAGCTGAGGCAATGAGGTCAAACTTTGGACATTTCTTGAAGATCGAGCCTCGCTTCTTTTAAAAACGTATAAGACAACTAGCGAGGAAGACAAGTCCTTCTTGAAAAACCATGACCTTTCTGTTCGTGCAAGAATGGCCATCAAGCCCTGGCCGGTTTGGCTCAGCGGTTGGAGCGTCAGCCTGCGGTACAGAGAGACCCGGGTTCGGTTCCCGCTAAGGGCGCGTACCTCGGTTGCAGTTTGTCCCCGGCCCTGGTTGGTCGTGCGGGTGGCAGCCACTCGATGTGTCCCTTCGCATCGATGTTTCTCTCTCTCTCTCTCTCTTCCTCTCTCTCCCTCCCGCTCTATCTGAACAAAAAATGGAAAAATGTCCTCGGGTGAGGATTAAAAAAAAAAAAAAAAGAATGGCCATCAAGTTGCGTTTGGGTGAAAAGAGATTTTGGAAAAAGCAGTGAAGAGCGCGGCTGCGAACCGCGAGTATTACCGCAGGCGATTGGAGGAAGGGGCTCCGCTGCCCAAGCACGAGGAGAGTGACCCCGGGCTGCTGGGGGGCGGCGGGGCGGACTCACGGCTGCCCCTGGTCCTGCGGAGCCTGGAGGAGGCCCTCGCCCTCTCCGAGGTCGTCAGCCGTGCGAAGGCGGCGGAGAACGGGCTTGTCAATGGCCAAAACTCTATCCCCAACGGGACCAGGTTAGCAAAGGAGAGTTTAGATGAAGAGGAAAGGAAAAGAGCAACTGCAGACGCCAGAGAACCTCCCTCGGAGAGCGCTGGGGAGGCCGCAGAGCCCCTCTGAGGGCGCGTCCGCCTGGGGTCCGCTCAGCAAGTTCATGAGCACGTCACTTACAGCTGCAGCTCCTGTTTCACGTTTTGTTTTTGTTTTTGTTTTGTTTTTCTGCAGAGAGGAAAGTGTTTTTGCTGCTTTATATAAAAATAATTTTTTTAGGTTATTTAAAAAAATCTAGCTTCCCTTTTTGATTAAGATGGCCATCTTGCTTTGAGGCAAAACAAACAAAGGGGGAAGGGGTGGCACCTTGGAAGGTGTGGCCGGCAGACCACTGTGGGCAGTGCTTGCTTCCTGGGGAGGGTCCAGCTCCTCCCTCGGGGCCTGTCTTCGTGCCGGCAGAGTGCACGCCTGCTCTGCCTCCTGCCAGAGGGCGCCGTGGGCTGGCGTCTCGGCCTGGGGTTCCCTGTGGGAGGGGGCAGTCTCGCAGCCGTGGACAGGCTTGAGGTTTGGACACTTGTCTGCTCGAAATCTTTTTCTTTTTCCTAAAAAGATAACACTTCAGTACCAAAAGAAGGTAAGGTGGCAGCCTTATTTTAATAGTTTTAAATGTTGGTGATAACCCTGATTATATAAAATACACACACACACACACACACACACACACATCTAGTGGTCTCTAAAGATTTGTTTACTTTGTGTGTTTTGTTTTACTGTATTAGGAACGTGTCCTTTCTCCTGGAGTCAGCAGGACATGCCCCCTCCTAGTCGCACATGTGGCTGCGGCGCATCGGCTTCCTGTGCAGGTGACGGAGCCGGGAGCTTGCGGGCACAGCCGCCGCTCTGCGTGCTGGGCTTCAAGCGAGGCAGCTCCCTGCTCTGCTGTTTCCACAACAAGCTAGAGAGATTTTCAGAGCTACACTTTTGAGTAAAAAGCCTTATTAAAAGGAAAACGTGATTTAAAAAAAAATCACCTTAAATGTAAATGGATTGAATGCTCCGATAACAAGACACAGAGTAACTGATTGGATAGGAAAGCATGACTCATCTGTAGGTTGTATACAAGAGACCCACCTCACAACAAAGACTCACATAGGTTGAAAGTGAAGGGATGAAAAAAAATCTTCCAAGCAAACGGAAAGGATAAAAAACCTGGGGTAGCAATACTCATATCTGATCAAATAGACTTCAAAATGAAGGCCATAACTAGAGACAAAGAAGGCCACTACATAATATTGAAAGAATCTATCCAACAGGAAGATATAACCTTGATAAACACCCTATATAGGACCACCAAAATATATTAAAAATCTTCTGGAAGACTTCGAAGGAGAAACCGATACCAATACAATCATAGCAGGGGACTTCAACACCCCACTGACAACACTGGATATATCCTCTAGATAAAAAATTAGCAAGGAAATAGAAACTCTCAATAAAGCACTAGACCAAATGGATTTCATATATATCTACAAATAATTTCACTCCAAAACTGAAGAATTCACATTCTTCTCAAGTGCACATGGGACATTCTCAAAGATAGACCACATGTTAGGACACAAACTAAGTCTTTACAAGATCAAGAAGATTGAGAACACATCAAGTATCTTCTCAGATCACAATGGCAGGAAATTAGAAATCAATTGAAACAAGAACATGAAAAGACATTAGAACACATGGAAGCTAAATAGCATGTTATTAAACAATGAATGGGTCACCGAGGAGATCAAGGAAGAAATTAAAAACTTCCTGGAAACCAATGAAAATGAACACACAACAACACAAAATCTATGGGATGCAGTAAAAGCAGTTCTGAGAGGGAAGTTCATAGCACTACAGGCCTACCTCAAGAAACAAACAAACAAAATCTCTAATAGACTATCTAACCTCACAACTTAAAGAAATAGAGAGTATAAACAAAAAGCAATCCCCAGAGCAAGTAGAAGGAAGGAAATAGTAAAGATCAGAGCAGAATTAAATGACATAGAGTCCATAAAAACAATTCAAAGGATCAAAGAAACAAAGAGCTGGTTTTTCGAAAAGATAAACAATATTGATGAACCATTAGCTAGACTCACCAAGAAACAAAGAGAAAGAACCCAAATACACAAAATCAGAAATGAAAGAGGAGAAGTAACAACTGACACCACAGAAATACAAAAGATCATTAACAATTACTATCAACAATTATATGGCAACAAATTTGACAATCTAAGCAAAATGGACAATTTCTAGAAACACACAGTCTCTCAAAACTGGACCCATAAGAGATAGAAAACTTGAACAGACCAATAACAACTAAGGAAATTGAAGAGGTAATCAAGACTCTCCCAGCAAACAAAAGCCCAGGCCTGGATGGCTTTGCCGGGGGAATTTTACCGAACATTCAAAGAAGACCTAACACCCATCCTCCTCAAACTATTTCATAAAATTCAAGAAGAAGAAAGACTTCCAAACTCGTTATATGAAGCCAGCATAATTCTAATTCCAAAACCAGTAAAAGACATTACAAAGAAAGAAAACTATAGGCCAATATCCCTGATGAACATAGACACCAAAATTCTGAACAAAATACTAGCAAATCAAATCCAGCAATACATCAAAAATATTATTCACCATGACCAAATGGGATTCATCCCAGGGATGCAAGGCTGCTACAATATTCGCAAATCAATAAATGTGATACACTACATAAATAAAATTAAGAATAAAAACCACATGATCATATCAATAGATGCTGAAATAGCCTTGAACAAAATCCAGCATCCATTTCTGATAAAAACACTCAGCAAGCTGGGAATAAAGGGATTATATCTCGGCATAATAAAGGCCGTATATTTAAGACCTACAGCTAACATCATACTCAATGGACAAAAACTAAAAGCATTTCCCTTAAGAACAAGAACAACACAAGCATGCCCATTTTCACCACTCTTATTTAATATAGTACTGGAAGTCTTAGCCACAGCAATCAGACAGGAAGAAAAAATAAAAAGGATCTAAATTGGAAAGGAGGAAGTGAAGCTGTCATTATTTGCAGATGGCATGATACTATACATAGAAAACCCCCAAAACTCCATCAAACATTTACTAAACTTAAGAAATGAATTTGGCAAAGTAGCAGAATACAAAATTAACGTCAAGAAATTCTTATACACCAATGATGAATTCACAGAAAGAGAAACTAAGAAAACAATCCCATTTACCATTTGGCAAAAAAATTTAGGTACCTAGGAATAAACTTAACCAAAGAAATAAAGGACCTATTTGCAGAAAACTACAGGTCATTGAAAAAAGAAGTAGAGAAAGATATAAGAAAGTGGAAGCACATAACTTGTTCATGGATTGGAAGAATTAACATCATTGATATGTCCATATTTCCCAAAGCAATCTGTGAATTCAATGCAATACCCATCAAAATACCAATGACATACTTCACAGAACTAGAATAAATAATTCAAAAGTTCATATGGAACCAAAAAAGACCTCAAACAGCCACAGCAATCTTGAAAAAGAAGAACAAAGTAGGAGGGATCACATTACCAGATTTCAGGTTATACTACAAAGACACTGTAATCAAAACAGCCTGGTACTGGCACAAGAATAGGCATATAGACCAATGGAACAGAACAGAGAACCCAGAAATGGACCCAAGACATTATGCTCAATTAATATTTGACAAAGGTGGCAAGAGCATACGGTGGAGTAAAGACAGCCTCTTTAATAAATGGTGTTGGAAAAATTGGACAGCTACTTGCAAAAAACAATGTAACTAGACCATCAACTTACACCATACACAAAAATAAACTCAAAATGGATAAAAGAATTAAATGTGACTCATGAATCCATAAAAATCCTAGAAGAAACTGTAGGTAACAAAATTTCAGACATCATACGCAGCAGAATTTTCACTGATACATCTAAGGCAATAGAAACAAAGGAGAAAATGAACACATGAGACTACATCAAACGCAAAAGCTTCTGCACAGTGAAAGATACAATCATCAAAACAGAAAGGCTACCCACTGTATGGGAGAGCATAATTGCCAATGATATATCAGATAAGAGGTTAATTTCCAATATATATAGAGTACTCATACAACTCAACAAAAGGAAAACAAAGAACCCAATTAAAAAATGGTCAGAGGAACTAGACACCTCTCCAAACAGGACATACAAATGGCCAAGAGACATATGAAGAAATGCTCAGCATCACTAATCATCAGAGAGATGCAAATTAAAACAACAAGGTATCACCTCAGACCTGTCAGAATGGCCGCCATCAACAAATCATCAAACAACAAGTGTTGGCGAGCATGTGGAGAAAAGGGGACTCTAGTACACTGCTGGTGGGAATGCAGACTGGTGCAGCCACTATGGAAAACAATATGGTGTCACCTCAAAAAATTAAAAATTGAACTTCCATTTGACCCAGTGATCCCGCTTCTAGGAATATACCCTAAGAAGCCTGAAACACCAATCAGGAAGAGTATATGTACCCCCATGTTCATAGCAGCACTATTTACAATAGCTAAGATCTGGAAACAGCTCAAGTGTCCATCAGTATAAAAAAGCAGTGGTACATATACACGATGGAATACTATGCAGCTGTAAGAAAGAAAGATCTCTTATCCTTTGAGACAACATGGAGTGATCTGAAAAGTATTAGCATAAGTAAAACAAGCCAAACAGAGAAAGACAAGTATGATATGATCTCATTATTTGTGGAATATATTGAACATAACAGTCTGAGGAATGGTGTAGTCTCAGAGACGTGGAAGTGGGGTACAGACGGACAATTCTCAGAAGAGGGGGTGGTGGGGGAGAGACAAACCACAAAACTTATATGCATGTATGCATGAACAATGTACAAGGACAACAAAGCTGGGGGCAGGGTGGGGTGGGAAGAAAAGGGGGCAATCAGTGGGGGGAAAGGAAAAATATCTGTAACAAAAATAAATTAATTAATCAAATTTTTAAAAAAGTATCTTTGTAGTGGCCTGTGAAGAACAAATTATAGGGGACCAAGGTGGAAGCAAGGAGACTAGTTAGGTAGTCATTGTAATAGTTCA